AGATTTTAGATAAATCGTAATAGTGGGCGTGGTCAACATTTTAACTCGGGGTATGACGAACGTTTGTACAAGAAATTATGCAAATCGGTCCAGCCGTTTTCAACTGATTCCGTCACCAACAAACAACAATTGATTTATATATATATATATATATATATATATATATATATATATATATATATATATATATATATATATATATATATATATATATTCGCTTTGATGCGCTAATTTCAATGAAATATGGAAGGTGTGACGGAATTTGGTGTAAAAATCGGTTCAGATTGGGATACGATTTTATTAAGAACCATTGACCCACAACGCCTTTGCAATGGTATTAAGCTAAACCTATACGACAATTTAATTGAGAATACGATTATTACGGGGAACTATGATGCTACCTCGAATTCTCTAATTGCAACAGAAATGCCACTCATATTCTAAAGATTGCAGTTTTAGTCAATTAGTCATGTTCTTGCTTTTCTCATGGTCAGCCGTTCCTGTAATGTTCACGCGTTGGTAGACCGAGCTATTTGTTTATTTACGCATTATATTCGTTTATAACATTTTTAAGGCATTTAAAATCAAAAGGGGTTGCGAAGCGCCCTAGGTTCAGCTAGTATTTATATAAAGAGGTTTAACGGGACCATGGTACAATGAAATAAAGGTAACCTCATTTCAAATCACCATTCCCAGCTCTGTATTTTATGTAATTTACCTTGTCAACTTTAACTGCATAGAAATCAAGTTCCCATCTCTGATTGGTGTATATACAATGTATTCATGAATAAATATTTTGACAATTATATGTTGTCTAATAAATAATTTTGAAAAAAATTGTAAATATATGATTGCATGGCTTTATCTTCTTAGTTCTACCATGATCGGGACAAGAAATACATTGTGATGTGGTAAATGTGTTAGGTGAAAGTACTCCTTCATATGCAACAGTAAAAAATGGTTAGCTGAATTGAAACGTGGTCGTACAAGCATTAAAGATGAGCCACGTAGTGGACGTCCAAAAACTGCAACAACAACAGAAATTGTAGCCAAGGTGCATGATATGGTGTTAAATGATCGACGAAAATGCTAATATCATGGGCATCTCAAATGATCAAGTCCATTGAATTTTCTATGAAGAACTACAGATGAAAAAGCTTTCTGGAAGATGGGTGCCGCATTTGTTAACAGTCGATCAAAAACGCATAAGAATGAACATTTTTCAAGCTAGTTTGAATCGTTTTAAGCGAAAAAATGGATAACTGTTGGTGAGATATGGATCCAGCACTATACTCCAGAGACAAAAGAACAGTCCATACAATGGACTGAAGCTGAAGGAAGTGTCCCAAAGGTTATGGTATCGTTTTTTTGGGAATTCAAAAGTATTTTATTGATTGAATATCTGCAAAAGGGTAAAACAATAAATTCAGAGTTATATTGCAAACTTTTAGATCAATTAAAACTTCTAAAATATATTGTACATAGGGCAAAGAAGCGTGTAATACAAATGCATTTTATATAATTTCAACAAAAAGAGAAAAAGTTTATAAGAAGGTAAGGATTTATTATACTGTCCCCGATTGAGGACAATCAGCGAAACTAGTAGAAAATTTAACAATTTTACAAAGTTTCTATTGTCTTCATTATGGCGCATGGAAAGTTTTTTAGAGGTCAAAATGACTTCGCGACTTCAAGAAGCTGTTTATTACATAATGGAAAACGATGACGATGATGCATATGATATATTAATTGTGCCACCAGATCCTGCCCCTGTAAGTGATGCCGACGAAGGTAATGAAGACAATTTTTTGTGTACAAACATGCCAAGTGATGTGCCGGGAACTATTGAAACTGTAATGGAACAAAATTACAATTAAGATTGGAATGATGGTGATGATGAGCCACTCTCTACTTATGTAAGAAAAAAGAGCCAAGGAGTCATTGAAAATCCTAAGTAGCGACGTGAAGTACCAACTTAAAAAATAACGCATAACTCAAATGATGCGATACGTTGCAGACTCGATGACTTCGTAAAAAATATGAACGGTCATAGTCCTTGTGCATCATTTGAAAAAATATTCGATACCAATAATATTGATTTGATTATCGAAAGCAGCATTTTAATTCAACACAATAAACACAATTTCAGTCCCGACAGTAAGGATTTAAAACTTGTTTTTGGGAATTTTGCTACTAAGTGGATATATTCAATTGTCTTTGGAGCGAGCATATTGGACCTCAGACGAAGACTTTGAGATTTAATTGGTTAATTGGAATTACAATGAGTAGAAATAGATTCTTAGAAATAAAACAAAACTTGCATTTTGCTGATAACAATCTTGCCAGTACAACCACTGATAAAATGTATAAATTGAGACCTATTTGCAATCTAATTGAAAGAAATTCTTGTCAATGGGAAATCCTTCAGGAGAATTTATCAATAGATGAATCTATGAAAAAATATTTTTGTCTACATTCAGCGAAACAATTTATGATAGGCAAACCAGTGAGATTTTTAATATAGGAATTGAGCAGCAACGAGTTCAGATGGATATTGCTTTTACAAATTATCATTTGATGTGCGAGTTAAAACGATTGGGATATAGAGCAACCGGTACGAGACAATAGAACAAAAAAATATCCACTTGTACCGGTCAAAGAAATTAAAACAAAACCCAGAGCAGAACATGATTATCGCTTTGACAGAAATAATGAAATAACAATAGTGCGTTGCAATAATAACAACTCCAACTCCAACAACCAATTTTGATTTCATAGAATCCTTGGGATAAGTAAACCGGAAGCAAAAGGTGGCCTTCAGTATACCAAATGGACAAATGGATCAATCAATCGGTCTCTACAGAGTATCCATAAGAGGTAAAAAGTTAAGGTGGGCGATATTTAATTATCTTTTGGACATGGCAGTTAGTAATGCTTGGCGATTGCACGTTATGTTATGTTAGGCTGAAAAAAAAAAAAACACTCCAATGGACCAACTACCATTTAGACGGAATATTGTGCGGTCCTATTTGCAGCCATAACAAGTAAAAAAGCTGTAAGTTCGGCCGGGCCGAACTTTTAATACCCTCCACCATTTGGTACAAATTTGGCAATTTCTAAAAAAAAAAAAAAAAAAAAAAAAAATCCGTTAAATATTCTGTTAAAATCTTAAAAATATCGAATGCACAGAAAATATTCTGTCTTAGGCTGTAATATCCATTACGAACTTCAAATTCCAAATTTGAAACAATTCCGGTGAATAATGTCGCTAAAATCATCAAAATACCGAATATCGGGAGGTACCGTTATATGGGGCCTATATGATAACTTGGACCTACCATTTACGAAATTAACCTGCCTACTGGCAAAATATACATGTGTGCAAAATTTTAACGTTCTTTCTCAATTTATTCGAAAGATAGCGTGATTACAACAGACAGACAGACGGACATGGCTAAATCGTCTTAGAACTTTACGCTGATCAAGAATATATATCCTTTGTTGGGTCTGACATGAGTATTTCGAGGAGTCACAAACGGATTGACAAAATTAATATACCCTCCATAGTATGGTGGAGGATATAAAAACCGCGCCAAACGTCGTCCGCAATTGTTGATCTGATCTAATCGAAACTGATCGCAAAAATAACGGCCACAATCCGGAACGGATAGTTAACCAACTGATATTGTAAGTGCCGCTGGAGATGTACATTATGTACAAAGCGTTGATAATAGCTGTTTTAGGCAATTTTGATAAATAACAATTAAACGAAATGTTTACCTTCAGTATCTTCTTAGGCGTTATTCTCCAGATTTAGCTCCCAGTGACTTTTACTTGTTCCTGAATTTCAAAAAAATCCTTGCTGGCAAGCGTTTTACCTCAAATTAAGATGCAATTACTGTTGTAAACCACTATTTTGCAGACCTTGAGGAAAATTATTTTATTCAAGGGATAGAATTGCTAGAAAAGCGTTGGACTAGTATTGACGTTTCAGGAGATTATATTGAAATAATTTAAAGGGAGGAGAGTCCGTGCCTCCAGGGACCAGCTATATAGTTGTCCTTCCAAATAACAAGACACAAAAACTCCGCTTTACTTTAAGTCTTTTATTTATAATTTTAAAATAAAAGAAACATTGATTACAACAGTCAGAACACTTGGTACATTCAATTATTTTCTCATGGACACTACCGACACTGTGAACGTATCTAGCAATCCCCTATAAGACTTCCTCGAATTTTATAATTTTCAGAGTACCGCACTGACAACCAGAACGTATCTAATGCTAAGTACTACTTACTTCAACCAAGTGATCTGCAATAATGAATAATTCTAATCGAGCGCACGCCTTTTATAGGCAGAAAGCTCTACATAAATTATAATGAGCTTTATCAATGAGTAAAAGCTGTTTCTCATCAACGTGCGCACACTCAACCAACTCATAAACAAAACAAAGAATGCCAAATAGTTTGGAATGCGCAAACCGTTGCACAGATCATGATTGTTTACTGGAATCACCAAACAACAACAAACATGAGAGTGAATGTAATGCCTCGTTGATGGGTAACGGCTTGTACAAGAATGTACTCATTGGCTATTGATAGAAAACAAAATAAACTATGCTGTTGTTGAGCGTAACATAAAACGAATGAACAAAGTACAAGGGTTGCTCTTGTTAATTATGATGTGTTGTTATTACATTAAGGTAGAACGCATTGAAATATAAATTAATGGAATAGTTAACATACACGTAGTAATAAAATATAAAAAGCTACTAATATAGTAAAGAAATAATATAGTAATGTAATAATAATTTAATATAATGTAATAATGATAATGTAAGTCCATATGCTACAATAATATAATATTTCTGAAAAACTAAATAATCTCTTTCGTTGATAGGCTAAGAAGTTTCCGAACCGCCCTCGTAATAGTCATAAATAAAACACACTTGAGTATACAGATTTTGTGTATCACTGAATTCATTATTTATTATATTATTGGTTTTATTTTTGTAATTCCAAATAATGTATTACAGTTGTTGTTTTTTATGGTTTCTTTCCTTCACTAGATGTTATGCCGTAGTTATTGTGTATGGATATTGTGTATAAATTAAATAAAATTCACACTTAGAGGAATTTGATACAATTTAATGGTATTGTAATCATTTACATATTCTATATTCATTGGATTTTATTTTGACATTCGCTTCTATTTCCACATAATAATACACACATGATTTATTATGATTATTACATATGAATATATTAAATCAAATATTATAAATAATTATGTTTTGCATTCGAAGGAAATTATATATTCTCAAACGAAACGAAAATAATTGGATGATGTTTTTATACAATGTTATTTGATGATGGTTTCATTTACTTTAGCTAATCATGTTTTCCTTAATAGTTGTATGTTTAATATTTGTATGCCCTCCATCATAGTATGGAGGGTAATTAAGTTTGTCATTCGGTTTGTAACACCTCGAAGTATGTGTTTTAGACCCCACAAAGTATATAGATTCTTGATCAGGATAAAATTCTATGGCGATTTGACGATGTCCGTCGGCCGCCTTATAACCGCACTTCTCTATATTCGGTTGTTTGATGGAATTGTTTCAAATTTCGTATTAGCAGTTCGTAATGGATACTACAGTCTTTGAAGGAAAATTGGCTACGCAGGTCCTGATCTTCATATAGCCTCCACTTAACTGTACCTCTCTAAATATGATATTGTTATGATTTTAACTGTATTTTACAACGTGTTTTATAGCCTACACCACACTGTGGTCAGGTTATTACGTCTTTGTGATTTTTTTTGTAACATAGAGAAGGAAGTGAAATAGACCCATAGTGTGTTTTGATGATCTGCATAGAGTCACATTCTGAGTCGATTTATGCATGTCGTCCGTCTGTCCATGTATTTTTGTGAACTAAGTACAGGTCGCATTTATTGCCCGATCGAAATGATATTTTATACAAACCATTTGTTTGACCCAAGCATGAACCCCCTTAAATCTTCGTCCGATTTATCTTTTATTGTGCGCTAAATGTGTAGTATTAGTTCAAATCGGATGAAATTTTGCACATACGACCAAATCGAGTATGTCACATTTGGTGTAAATCACTTCAGGTATAGCTATAGCTCCCATATACTTATATTGTTAATCATTTTGTCCACCACAGCCGTAATATGCCCATGCGTGACAACGATATTCGGGGAAATATATAAAATACATCTCAGAAATGCATTTGCCACATGTTATCGAGATCTGTTTAGATTTGGATATAGCTCCCATACATATCTTTACTAGATTTCATGTTTATTGTGCACCAAATGGTTAAAAGACAGGCATGTCGCAGGAAAGTGATTTTAATTTCTCATTTGTCTTCTTCAGAAAACGTAAAATGCAAATTTTTTTCGGTTTGAAACCGTTTTAGTTTTTGCAAGTGAAATAGTACTTTTTAAGGAATACAAATGTTTTCTTAATGAGAAATACACAATTAAATTTACATTTTTTGATCTTTTTATTTAAAAAAAATAGCATTTTTAATAATGTTTCAATTGGCGTATCCAATTTTTAACAAAGTGTTGCCATATCATTTTTTTTCTTGAAAACCATTTTTTTCTTCAAACAAAAATAATTCATATATGAAAACCAAACAGTGTGGTATTACGAATAATAAACTGAGGCAAAGAGAAAAAAATAATTTTGTACAAAAATATAAGTATTTTAAAATACGTGGAATATGTATAATTGAATGCGGCTTAATCAATTAATCATTATTTAATATTTTAGGGGCAGGGAATTCGACATTCAACAAATATGTGCTCAGTGAATTTAAGAAATCAATTGCAATATTTCTTTTTGCACAAAAAAAAATTCTTTTAAAATATTTTTCACAATTTACACTTTGTTTTGTGTTTTGTTTTGATTCCTCATTCATTCGTTCGTTCTCCCCTTAATGTTACCATATTGCATATATAATGCTGCCATATTTACACTGAATGAAGAAGTTAAAACCAAAACGAACGATTTTGAATCACGGAATCACGGATAATCCCAAATTGAATGGATTTTGGCACATACGAATGAATTAATTTTGGGAGAAAGTGTATCGAATTTGGTGAAAATCGGTTCAGATCCCATATATATGTTTCATCCGATTTTAAATTTGAATTCCTTACACCCATATATATCTTTATACGATTTCACGTTTGTTGTGCCTAAAAAGTGTAATATCAGCTCAACTAAGATGGGTTTTGATGAAGTCTGTCAAATTAAGTAGAAATTAGAAAGAAATAGTTCCTTTCGGCTTTAAATCGTATCTGATTTAAAGACATGATACGCATTCAAAAACTATCATCAATTCCCCGTAAATACGCATATTTGTTATGTAGTGTATGATAAAGTAGCCACGTCCGACTTTGGACCTTTACTGTTTTTTTTTTTTATTTTTTGAAAATTTCCAAATTCCTTCCACATTGTGGAAGTTATTCAAAGATTGACGCGCCCGAACTTTACATGTTTGATATTTTATATGAAGTTTAGAGGTAGTTTGTGGTTAATGAGGACATATGTGAGCTATATATAATTGAAACACCAATTTCAATAAAGATCGTTGTTGGACCAAACAAATTATTTGTGCACATTTTGTTTCATTCACAAAATAAATGCTATCTGGCAGTGTAGCGTGCAATATAATAAGATGACCCTGTAGTTTACTAACTACACAATTGCACTATAGTTCATCTAATCGGTCTGTGCAACCCAACTCAGTGATATAACAACGATAGTAGAAATTGTAAGAGTACTCGCCAAGACTAGTGTGTGTTCTATTTCGAATTGTACTCCCACTCGAGAACGAGAGAATAGTACTTGCTTTTATTCGAGTTGTATAAATAGTGGGGTATACTCTATTTATTTTTTTACTCGCAAGAGTAATCTCGCTCGAATTCGTGTAGAGAGTCAAACTCACTCGAGCATTTCGGAGTTTTGGTTTGTGTTGGTGCTCACACGCATCAGAAGAACACGTGCTCTGAGAAATTAATTCGTTTTGCTTATTTATTGACCCTTTTTGGGGAGATCCCAAAGCAGTTGGCCAATATTATCCACTTCGTATTTGACCTAAGTCAGATATAAATATTACAACGTGACATATTTGGACTATATCGTCTACTTCCTATGCTTTATATGAGGCACCAGATATAATACAGATAAAAATATTGGTACTTGCAAAATTTAAATGAAATCGAACATTTATATCATATTTTATACGAAATCATAAATTCCGATTAGCAAGTTGTATAGAATCGCCGACTTGTTTCGCATGTATGACTTATATAAGTATTGCCAAATTTTTAAGCTCTACGTCAAATAATGTGGGCTGTATCGTGATTTCAACAGACAGACGGATAGACAGACAGAAGGACATAAATCGACTTAGAATTTTATGCTGATTATGAATATATACTTTATGGGGTCTACGACGAATATTTTGGGATGTATCAAACGGAATGAATCAGAATATCCTTCAACAAATTGTTTAAATGGGAATGAAAAAAATTGAAGAAAATGAGCTTTGTAAGGTGTTTTAAGTTTATCGCAAGAAAGTGTGTCCAACCTTTAATAAAGCCCCAATGTACACAAAAACTGTTGCAAATTCAATGTATATCTGAAAACTGATATATTTTAATATACAATTTAAAAATATCAGTATACAGCAAATCTTTTATTTTGAATTTTAAAATACCCTCCATAGAGTGGTGGAGGGTATAAAACATGATCTTCTAACAATGTCGAGAGGTTTTAACCACCATCTAAGAAGAGTTAATATGGCCCAAGCCTTAGAATTGACATAATAATTACAACACAAATATGTAGGCTTTATGCTTGCGAAGGTCCTTTGTAGTGGTGTAGGTAGTGTATGTCTTGTCTCTAATTTCCCTGCTAGTCTTTAGGCCTAACATCGTACATTGATAAACTACCCCAGAAAAAAGTTCGCTGCGATTGGCTTGGCAATCTTGGAACAGAATGAATCTTAGCATTTTTTCCTTTTTTTTTAATGTTCGAAATAACGGAGATGTAATCATTAGTGAATTATATGATTTCAATAAAAATCTGTAAATGTTAAATAAAAATAAACACATTTTATATAATATTTTTAATACATATGATATCTATCAATTATTTGATATCAATCGTTACAGGTCTACATAAATACATAAAATGTACAGTAAGTATTATCATTACGAATTTGTAAATTGAAATTAAAAAAAAAAATAACAGTTATTTATTTCCTATAGATTTCATTATTGTTAGCTTACTTAAGATTATTTAGTTTAACAAAAGGTACAACATTGAACCATAGAGTATTTTTTTTTTAACTTCTTATATCAAGTCAATATCTATAAATTTATATATTTTAATGAAGATGTGTGTATGTGTATGAGTGTTTGAAATAACATTTGTGTTTCCATTAGATTTTCAGTAACGTAAAATAATATTTTGAAAAGAAGGCTTTAGTTTAAACACTATGCTACGTGTATACTTTGGAGAATGTTGTTAGTTATTTTATTTATAGGAAAACAATGGAGAAAAATAATTACAATATATATATATTTTTTTTTTTCTTATCAACATAAACAGTTATTTTCTTATATTTACTAAGTATATATATGTACATATGTATGTATTTTTGATTTTATTTAAATTTGATCTTCGTCACCTATTTTTTCAAGTTATAAAATGTTTATGTCTTCAAGGTTCAAGGCTTTAACAAGCAACTTGTTTTGGTACTGAAGAATTGAAATGGACAATATGGGTACACTTATAAATGTCAAATTCTTTGAATATGATGATATGAAATGCAATTTAAAATATCTAAAAAAAAACAGTAATAAACAAATCAGTGAACCTGGTATTGTTGTTGTGAAATATGTAGTATAAAGAAAAAAAACTGTCATATGTCTCGAAGAGTTCAAATGGATCCCAAGTTAGCCAGATCCGAATGTTTTTCTGACAGACTTCATGACATATTCAGTAATCATCTAACACAAACGCTGACTGGATGGTAAAAGACAACAAAGTATGACAACATTACAGCTTTAAGCGAACACCCAAATATAGAAAACAAAACCGGAAACTGCCAGGTGCCTCATTATTTCAGTCCTGCACTGAAGCAACGGGAATGTAAAACTTAAGGTTGGACGTAAAACAGAGATTACCGAATTCGTTTCCAGAAACCTTGTGATATTCCTCATCTCGTCCGGCTCGCGTTGAGCACTAACATATATATGTTAAGGGACTAACAATTACATTAGCCTTTGAAATAATAAGCGCTCCATGTGTCTTGAATTGTCGAGCATGGATCAAATTTTATTTGGTAGTGTCATATACCCATCAAACTCAGCAAAATCAACATATCCTCCATCTTATCTTAGAGAGCATAGAAATATCGGCTGCTTATCACATAGCGTGCTGAGTAGGCAACAGCCCAACGCAAAAAATTCCATACCCATTCTGAATGAAATTAAAACAATTGCATTTAATAATCGGCTTACACTTAAACGGAAATTTCTTGAATATGTACACGTTTCTTGCCGCCACCAGTCTGGGTGCCAGATGTGGTACCCGATTGACGCAATATACCTCCGCCACTGCCACTTGTTGCGGTCGAAGTTGTTTGTGTTTGTTGCTGGGCTGTTGATACTTGTTGTTGTTGTTGCTGCTGGTGGTGCTGATGTAACTGCATATTTTGAAATGATTTCGGCGGCGGTGGTGGTTCGGGAATATCATCATCCTGTGTTATGTCATCATCTCGCTGCATTGATACTTTAACCGCATTTTCGATATCCTTAAAGGACATTTGATCTGATGATTGGACCGAGGCAAAATCATATTGATTTAATTGTCCCGTGGATCCTACAAAGGAGCCGCGTCTACTTTGTAAACCCGTTGAGGTAGCTATTGACGGATCCAATATGAGTCCAGCTGTTCCACTCACCATGGGTGGCAGTGGATTGTAGGTGGCCATTTCCATGGCACTGACAGCCATTAAATGTTCATTGGGTTGGTCCGTTGTGATCGGCACAATATTGGAAGTAATCGGATAATTGGGTTCTAACGGCAGATGATGTTTGGTTTTTAATAAATCTAAAGTACTTGTCGAACAGGCAGCCGCCCAGTTTGAGTCCATCATTTGTGAGGTTGGCAGATCAACCATTAATTTCTCATCTTTCGTCTGAACCGATTTTTCATCATAACAACTGTATTCACCAAATACCACAGTGGTTTTGCCACTGACACCTGCGCCGCTTCCCGTATAGGAACCTGTTTCGCTGCCTAATGCATTCAATTTCAAGATACTGGAATTTTTACTATTATCGTGGTCCTGCAGTTCTTCTTTGGTCTTTGCATCGCGTGCCCGCTTTTCGCGTTGGTGATAGATACCGGCAAAGATGAGCACATTGAGTATGAGCAGAAAACAGCCAACGGCAACTGTTGCTACCAAAGCAGTAGTATAACTTTGAAATTGCTTTCCACTTAAACGTCTTAAGACTTCTAGATTACCTATGAGTCCTGTTGAGGCTGTAGCCATTTCCTTTTCCAGACTCTCAACGAATGAACGATTGTCCGTGGGCGGAACGGCGGTCATTTCGGCTACAAACATGGCGCCATCTACACCACATTCTGAGAAGATTGCAAGGTTAAAAACCATTTCAAGTACACTATTGTTTTTGGCTTACCCGTTGTAGCCCCAATCGGTTTTTGCGTGGTATTAGCCTCCAAAGTGGATGTAGGTGAGGGTGCCGGTGTCGGTGTCGGCCTTCCACGCGGCAGCAGTAGGGTTTCATCGTCATCGGCTGGTTTAGTTTGTATTTGTGGCCGTACAATTCCTTCAAGAGATAGGAACGCAATGAAATATAGTGAAATTACGAGAATGAACAATGCTTACTTACCCTCATAGAGATTCATATTGTTGAGGTCATCCTGGAACTGGTGATGCCTCATCGATTGATCGTTCATATTTGCATGCCGATGAAGCTGAGGTATTAGATTTAACCACATGGATAGTTTATGACCTCGATAGTGACTTTGAATTTCGGCTTTGGTACCTAAAATGATGTTTAGAATTAAATATCAACAAACCAATAAATTTATGTTTTGGGAAATTTAAAATAGGGGATTAAGAAAAACCTAAAGCTATTAGGCATTTTGAAGACCTCTCGGTTGTTCGAAAAAGATTTTTTGGGTTTTGGGTTTGGTGGCATTAAAACATCAACATTAACAAGAGTTATTTTTTCAAATATGATTAAAAACTCACTTTAAACGAGATCATAGAAAGTCAAAATATGCTACAAAATAATTTATCATAATATTCTACTATAGCTCCCAGAATATATCAAAAATCTAAATCTTACCTAAACGACAGGAATTCATAAATATTAAAAACACATGTTAGTGTTAAAGCTTTACCTCACTTGAGTTTTTGCAAAATTATCGAACAAAATAACATTTTGAAAGGATAACGGCAAGGACAGAAATATTTTTCATTAATTTTAAAATAAATTACGGAAAAAATGGAATCTCTGTTTCCATTATTTACCAAGAAAATATTTGCATCAATGTTTTAAAAATGCGTAAATATTTACTAATTGGTTTTTTCGAGTTGGTGCAATTATATGTCGTGTTAGACAGAAAGTGTCAAAACAGGAAATATTTTACACAAAATGTCTGTGTAAGCCATGTCTTAGGCCTAACCTTAAAATGTTATATTCTTTCCAACAGTTTGTGTTAGATCTTTTTATACCCTCCACCAGAGTATGGTGGGTATATTAAGTTTGTCATTCCGTTTGTAACACCTAGAAATATACATTTTGGAACTCACAAAGTATTTATATTCTTGATCAGCATAAAAATCTATGTCGATTTAGCGATATCCGTCCGTCTATTCGTCTACTCGTCTGCCCATCTGTGAAAATCGCTCTAGTTTCCGAACGAAATGAAGTAGCTTAATAAAATTTTACTCAAATGTATATTATGTCTGCAGAGCTTTTGGTATTGGGCCATGTAGGTCCACGTTTTGGTGTAGCCCCCATATAAAGGTACCTCCCTATTTTCGGTATTTTGATTATTTAAACGACATTATTCACCGGAAATTTTTCAAATTTAGTATTTGAAGTTCGCAATGAATACTACAGCCTATGACAGAAAATTGTCCGTGCAGGCAAACGCCTTCGTATAGGCCCCTATATAACGGAACCTCCCGATATTCAGTATTTTGATTATTTTAGCGACATTACTCACCGGAATTGTATCAAATTTGGTATTTAAAGTTCGAAATGGACACTACAGCCTATGACAGGAAATTGTCAGTGCAGATCCAGGTTTTGGTATAGCCCAAATATAATATACATAGTTGATGATTTTAGCTACATAATTCGCCTAATTTTTTTTCAAGTTTCGCATATCAATATTGTAATGGCTTATGAAAAAATGGGGTATGCAGGTCCATGTCTTATATACCCTAATATAAAGACTACATTCGGTATTTTTAAGATTTTAGCAGAATTTTTAACGGATTTTATTTTTTTTTGAAAATTGCCAAATTCGTTCCAAATGGTGGAGGGTATTCAAAGTTCGGCTGAACTTACAGCTTTTTTAATTACTAGTATTCAAAATGCATAATTTGTTCACTTTGGCAAAATGTTTTAATCAAAACTTCATATATCGTACTAAATTTTCAGATTTTCAAGATTTTATATATTATCCAAATTGTTCCTATTTCGGAAAAAATAATACGGAAATGATTATCTTTTACACCAAAAAGTCTTCAAATTCTATGATCTTGAAGATTATCGAGGATGATATTGGTAAAACCATTGCACATGGACCGATATCCAATTAGTACTCAATACCAAACTCAGTAACATTTAGTACCTTTCGTATAATTTAGCACCAACAGCTATCGCAATAAAAGATTTTACGGTGTTAGTACTATTCGAACAACTATAGTACGCATTTTCAAGCCCACCTCTAAGTTTCAAACACAGATACCATCTGTAATCTAAATATCAAAAATTTAAGGATTTCGGGTCCATTCCTTCGCCCAATACCTAATTTAGTACCACTTAGTATTTTTCGAACAATTATAGTACACATATCCCAGACAACCTGCGTATTTTAATTCCTGATACAAGAGATCTCAATGTCAAATTTAAGGATTACAGCTCTCCCACTTCACCCAATACCAAATATAGTACCATCTAGTACTCTTCGTACAAATATGGAAGGCATTTCCAAACCACCACCAAATCCCAAACACAGATACCATCGGTAATCTAGATTTCAAATTTGAGAATTTTATTTCTATCCCTTCACCCAATACCAAATATAGTACCATTAAGTTCATTCCGCACAATTATAGCACACATTTCCGAAACCACCTCCAGGCTTCACATGAACAGCGACCCTAGCACCAAATTTCATTTCAAACACTGTTCATCCAATATCAAATTGTACCAAATATAGTACTATTCAGTACTTTTGGCCAAATTTCAAATTTCAGATTTCAAACCAAATGGTACCATTTTAGAGTTTAAGTACCATCTTTGGCCTACACCTATCCTGCACTTCATTAGTGACTCTCATTCCAAATTTCTAACTTTTTCCGTTTTTTCAATACATAGTATTTAATTTTTAGTACTTTTCGTATCCTTTTAGTACGAATTTCCAAGTAACCAGCCTTATTACGCACCAAGTCTGATCCTAGTGCAAAATTTCAGGATTCTAGCTTCAGCAGTTTCGTCAAGGCGTGGATTCCCGGTCAATGAGTCAGTTAGTATGATATTTCACTTCTCTTTTATATACATACTAGCAAATGCCCGCTACTTCGTATGCGAAGAAATGAAATTATATTAAGTAGATTTGGAATATGAAAAGTATAAAATAAAAGGTCACTATTCAAGTTATAAATTGAATCAATAATTTAAATGCACATCGAAAATAGCTGTTCTGTATATGATCAATTCATACGTATACACAAACTGATACTTTTCCCAATAATACATTTCTAAAAATGGTTGCATTATGATCTGCTTACCGAAATTCATAACTCTCTTCCTATCTATCAATATATTTTCCTACAAACTATAGGAAATTTAGTACCATTTAGTACAGTTTTTAAACTTTCCAAAACCATCTACCTATGTCAACACTATTTCCACGAATTGTTTCTCATACTAAATTTCAAGATTTTACCACTATCCGTAAACATAATTTCAAATAGTACCAAATGTGCATTTTAGTACTTATGGTATAGATATTGTTCGTATTTCGAAAAACTCTTTAGTTTGTCTATCCTACACAACATCAAAAACTCTCACTCCAAATTTCAGATTTCCAACTCTATTCCTTCCCAAATACTGAAGTTAGTACTGTTTTTTACTTTTCGTACTTTTTAGTACGTGTTTGCAAATCCCCCGTCAACATTTTAGACCATCAACTCAAACACTTACCCAAAAACCAAATTCAATACCATTTAGTACTTTTTAATATGTATTAGTAAACTATCTCCAAACTTAAGCCCTACAGACAAGTGATCCTATTGCCAAATTTGAAATTCCAAGCGGTATCCATTCATGCAATACCAAAAGTAACTTCTCTCATCTTATTTCCAAATTTCAGCATTCCAGCATTATCCACCAAATCGAAATTGTACCAAATTTTACTACAATTTAGTACTTATCGTGTACATATATACACATTTCGAAAACTAGTAATGTTCATTTCGAATTTCAGGATTTCAGATTCAACCGTTCCTCCAAATTCGAATTGTACCAAATTAAGTACCGTTTAGAAATTTTCGTATACATAAGTACACACTTCCAGAACTACCTCTCTACATCGAACCTACTCCTCAACCTTGCTAAATAGTAACAAATAAAGTACGTTTTGGTACTTTTCGTACACTTATAGTGCAAATTTCCAAAAATCCAAAATTCATCCTACACTCCCACAGTAAACCTCTCTCCGAATTTAAGAGTCCTTCAAATACAAAGGGTAGCACATTTAGTAACTTTTAGTACTTTTAATACCTTTCTTGTGCGAATTTGCAAATACCCAGCCTTATCCGACACCTTCGGACCAAGAGAGTCCCTTACCCAAAATTTCAACATTCTACATTCAGCCGTTTCGTCTGGGCGTTGATAAATCATTAAGTCAGTCAGTCAATTACATCACTCTTTTATTAGGGTGTAAGTACATAAGAACCTTGAAGTCATGGCTAGGCATATTTGGTGACATTTCATAAAGGGATTACAGAGCCGCACCAAAATCCTGCCGTCGTTTTCCATTATAATTTGACATTTATATGCCTAGCCAAGGTTTTTATGAACTGGCACCTTTAATGTAGATAAATAGGAATTTCCAAACTTCCTACTTACAATCCAATCCTACACTTGAACAGTAATCTTAATTCCAAACTTTAGGATTCCAACTCTATCGGTTCATCTTAATCCAAATTGTGCCAAATTTAGTAAATTTTAGTACATATACATATGTAAAAATTTCCAAATACATATCATAATCCTACACTCCGACAGTAATCTTATTTCCAATTTTCAGGATATCACTTAAGTACAAGTGTTCATAACTACCTACATCATATAGTCCAATAGAAATCATATTTTGACGTTTCAGGATTACAACACTACCGGTTAACCTAAAATTCAAATTGTAGCAGATTATGTACCATTAAGTACACATAAGTACGAATTTCCAAAACATCCTACTTACCCCAATCTTAAAATGAAATAATAATCTTATATCCAAATTTTAACACTGTAGTTATATTGGTTTACTCAAATCAAAATTGTACCAAATTTAATATATTTTGTGCACTTAAGTGACAGATTTCGAAAACAACCTACTCAAATTTCAGGATTCCAGCTACCTATTTACATTGATCCTACTCCTCAACCTTGATTCCCATTCGGAATTTCACGTTTATAGTTCTAACCGTTCACTTGATAAAAAATGGCATCAAATGTAGTACATTTTAGTACTTTTCCTGTACATATAGCACGAATTTCCGAAAACCGTTTATACATCCCATCAGTGTTCCTATCTCTACAGGTTCGTAAAATACATAGAGTACCATATTTTGTAATTTTCAATACTTTTCGCACTGTTCTAGTACGAATTCCCAAAACCCAACCTTAACTGACCCCTTCGCATCAAGAGTGACCCTCGCCCAAAAATTTCACGATTCTAGATTTAGCCGTTTCGTCTGGGAAATTAATGAATCCTTAAGTCAGTCAGTCAGTCAATTAATTAACTCTTTTATTATTACAGATAGATGTCATAATAAATGAATGACACATGACCATATCAGAGTAACTACATATTATGATCAATTCTTCTAAGTATGGTCAAAAATGTCAAAAACTGAGTATAATCGCAGAGATTCTCAGATTTTTGTATATACGCATTGTCCTTGAAAATCTTACCCAATTCCATATACAGTTGATTTACAACATCGTAGGCATCCCAAAAATGCATCTCATCCCCATCCAAATTACCAGCTGTACTGAGGAAATTGGCAATCTCACTGCTACCAGAATCGTTGCCATTATGCTGATCATCCGAGTTGCTACGGGAATGACGTTTGAAGTATGTGCGCTTAGTTCTTCGCTGATTGTAGAGCACAGCCAGATTAAGTGCCTCTCTTGCAGCGGCAGCAGCGACATCTTCCATGGAACTGGTTGTAGTATTTCCACTACTGTTGTTTGCATTGGATGATGATGATGATGATGATGCTGATGACGACGACGACGACAAAGTCAATGGCGTTGATGTATTTACAGAATTTGACGGAGTTTTTTGCAATGACGATCTTTTGTGCTTTACATGAACTTCGGCTGTCAGTGCCGCTGAGGCCACAGATGTTGACGGTGTATTCATTAACTTTGAAGTCGATGCCAATGGCGGGGAAAATGATGATTGATTGGGATTGCTGCGGGCGGCAAAAAAAAAAAAAAACAGCAAAATTATGAAATTTAAACTCAAGTTCAATTTATATGTGTCCCTTACGTACCCTGTTTTGGCGAAGTTTGCTAAATATCTTAGCATTAAACGACTTATTTGTCTCTCCTGAGTTGTATAGTTATGAGGAAACAATGGTGATATGGGTAGGCCTAGCCAAAACGGTACATCTTCGCCCCTCACAGAGCCAGTGCGCTAAAATAATTTTATTTCGTTACAATGGCGACAATTATTGGACTTTTTTATTTGCATTACCTGTGGATATTCCTCCTCCACTGTACGATGTTTGAAGTGCAAAAAATATCCTTTACCTCCTCTAAGACTGTGCATGTAACCCAATTTGATGAGAGATGAGGCCGTGTGGCCATCACTTAGAAATTGCAGGGTTGCATCTCGTGAACTTAATGGGCTTCGTATGGCCTTTTCCCAGTCAGTGTATTCATTCTAGTAACAAAGCAAGCAGTTGCGAAAACGATATCTGGGAAAACATTGGAAAAACAAATACTCACCTTTAGTACCGCAAATATTTCATTCAAGTGATAATGGAAATTATTGCGGACATAAGTACGCAATATACGATCGCGTCGTGTTTCATTGAAACCAAATTCTAAGTCTTGAGCACTTAGATCAAGATGTGACTCCACGGAGGTCAGGCAAAATATAAGATTGCGTTTGGGAAAATTTGCATATTCAATTCCTGATGTACTGTAATCGAAAAATCGAAAAACATGTTTGTACTTTCTTCAAAATAGCCGTAACGTGACTTACCTAACTATAGCTGAGCCTATAGGCAGTGATAGTTTACCAATACCATCGGTATTGGGTGATATGACAGTGCCATCAACAAAAGGGGCGAAACCAACTAAAAATCTAGGGGAACGATCAAGAGACAATGCAATGAACGCGGTTTTCTCTTTAAGTATTACAGATATTACCTTGGATGATCAATTTTCACAGCTAAAAGTTCGGCCACAGACTTGGTACGCAAACAGGGTGCCAAATCATCATAGAGCATGTCGCCATGACAGCCGGTCTGTTCGGCCACACGTCGCTTAACAAATAAAGGATTTTTCTGTATTGCCCAGGGTGACAAAGCTGAGCCGCTTACCAGGCCAACATGTTGTATCAAATCTGGACAATGTAATTTGCAAAAATATTTATTTAATTAAAAATCAAAGTCCACAAAAAACCCACCGCTTGCCACCGGTGACACCGCCAAAATATTAGCCAAAGCAGCTCCGGTTCCATGTCCCAACAATGTTATGGCTTGTGGATCTCCTCCAAAGGCTGGCAAATTTTCTTTCAACCAATGTAGGCCAGCCACTAGGTCCATTAAACCAAAATTTCCTTGAGCACTCTCCTTGCCGCCAGTTTTGAGAAAGCCAAAGATTCCCAAACGGAAATTTATGGTAACTACTATAACATTGCCATGTGTTGCCAATTCAGATCCGTCATAGGGATTTCCGGAATTCCATTCATACGATTCTCCATGAATGAATAATATGGTGGGAATAAGGGATTGCTCTGACGATTCTCCACTGTTTGTGGCAAAACCTGTGGATTGAACAAAAATGCAAAATTATGTTAAGTGACTTGCTGAAGTAATTCTTATAGCGATAGCGATTACTAGTTCTCACCAATGGAAAAAAGAATTGACAAAAACAAGAATAAACAGAAGAGCTCTATCCCTTCATCCAATATTAAATTGAGTAACATTTACACTGCATATCCAAAATAATAAACATCTCTCCACCCTAGACACCAAAAGTGCTCCAAATTAGTATCATTTTGTACTTTTCAGGCCACACATGAACAGCGACCCTTTTACCAAATTTCAGACTTCAAGCCTATCTGTTTAAACAATACCAAATTGTGCCACTTACAGTAATATGTAGTACATTTCGTGAACGTGCACTTTCTGAAACCACCTTTCTATCACAAACCAAATACCAACATGGACACCAATTCAGAATTTAAAAATTCCAGTTTTATCCGTTCACCCAATATAAAATGTACCATTTTAACAGTTCGCACACTTAGCACATATGATTCTCTTAGTATCACGATTATCATACCAAATTTCAAATTGCGTTCGTATATGGTACCATTTGAGGAAAGTTTTTGGTACATTTATCCTGCACTCTGTTAATGACTCTCATTCCAAATTTCAGAATTTCTCGTCGTCTGGGCGTTAAGTCAGTCAGTTATTAACTATTCTGTTATAAATATAGATCAGAGGGCTGCAACGGGTATGCAAAAATTCAAGCATACTCGGTTTCTTACATGATTTTTGTTGATGCAGTCGTTTAGTTTGATCTGAATGAAATGACCGTTTTCGCTTCTGATCGAATCGAACGCTCAGTTTGAATCACTTCACTCACAATCAAACATGAGCGTTCGAGACGGTTTGATGTGTTCAGCAACATGAGTTGGTCGAACACATGAATGTAAATGAGCAATCACAACCGTGATTGTCTTCTTTGAATCGAGTTCGCTCAGCGTCATTGTTTATTCAACCATTTAATCAAGTTGGGACAGTTTATTTTGACTTTTTATACCCTACAACACTATGTGTTGGGGGTATTATAAGTTTGATTGGGCCAGAATTTATGTAACACCTCGAAATATTGGTTTCCCATATAGGAAAGTATATATGGATCTTCCTAGCTCGCCGAGCTGAGTCGATCTAGCTATGTATGTCCGTCCGTCCGTCTGTCCATGTTAATTTGTAATCACTCTACAGGTCGCAATTATGGCCCGATCTTCACGAAATTTAGAATGGAGGTGGGGTTAAGGTCAGAATAGAACCCTATTTCTTTTGGAGATGATCGCCAAATGTTTAGGGGTTGAAATGGACCAAATACTGAAAAAATGTCGGATTTTGCAGTAGCTATAGAGGTCGCAATTATAGACCAATCGACGCGGAATTTCGCATGTAGCTAGAGTTTAGGGCGGGGAAGAAGCCTACCAATTTGGGTGGTCATCGGATGATGTTTAGCGGGTAAAATAGACCATATATTTTTTGTTGAAAAAATTCAAAAATTTTCATTAAACCGCGAATATTTTAAATCCCGGCGAAATCACAAAGGCATGACAAGGTTACTTCTGATCTTTACATTGATGTTAAGATCCAACAAATCGGATATATAGCAAAATATGTGAGATATATATGTCTATCAAAGAAGATATGCTTGAAAGATCTCATATATGTCGAGAACGGCTGAACTGATTTCGACAGTTCTCATTCATTTTGTCATATTTTTGGCATATTTTCATTTTGAATTAAATCATAATCATAATTCATTGCAGCCCTCCAATATAGATAAATACACCAAACGTTGGACCTACATTAAAGATGTTTTTTGAGGTGTTAAACTACAAAATAAGAACACGAAATGTACAATTTCAGCAGATTTAGTGTGAAATAGAGACAAAATCTTTGAAATACCCGATTTCGTTATACAGTTTTTATGGCTAATTGTGGACCGAGGTATCAAAGAATGAAAATACTAAGCTTGGTAAATATCGGTTCGGATTTGAATGAATCACCCTTAATATATTTCATCGATTTAGCTATCAATCTCACAATTTGATGTGATATATCTTTTTAATTCTCAATATACAGTGTGAGATGAAAAAACAAAGGTCAGCTGAAAATGTGCACCTTCGATTGGCCACTAGAACTCAAGCGCCGGCCATGGTGATGGTGTTGGCCGCCATAACAGCCGATGGTCGCTCTCCGCTCGTATTAATCGGCCGTGGCATCAGAATAAATGCCTAATATTATCGCGAAAATATTCTGAAGGGTGTATTAAAGTCTTGGGCACGCAAAAATTTTGGCCACAGACCTTGGACAGTCCAACAGGACTAAGCATTATCGCACTCAGCACGCGCCACCCAAGAATGGTTACAAAATAAGGTTTCTCGCTTCACTTCCAGCGCACAAGGTCCACAAAAATATTCGGATACCAATCCGTTCGACTATTGTGTCTGGAGTATTTTGGAAAGCAAGATTGGCACTAAAAAATATCAAAGTGTCGATCACCTCAAGCAAGCGCTTCGCCTGGAATAGGCCAAAATACTGCAGAGCAACATTCGGGCAGCGTGTGACGGTTTCATTGGCCGTTTGAAGGCCATAATTCGTGCCAAAGGTGACCAATTCGAACAAATCTAAACTTATTCTAAAATTTGATGCAATTTCCGACATTTTTTGCTTTCATTCAACAAAATTAAAAAAAAAGTAAAAATTATGGCGTTTGACTTTGTTGCAGTTTTTCTATGTCACCCTGTATACGTCTCTTGAATGGTTAATATCGCCCGCTATGTATGTTTTATCAATCTAATATCACGTTATCAAGGAAGGTTGCTTTTTTGAAGTCTAAGAGTCGGGCAATTTATAAATATATACATACTAGCTGGCCCGGCCCGCGTTGCCGGCCCGTAATTTTAGTCTTTAATGCTTATTATATCCTCCACCTTGGAAAGGAGGGTATATTAATTTTTTCATTCCATTTGTAACATTCATAAATGTTCGTCATAGACCACATAAAATATACATATAAATATTCATAATAATCAGAACAGTGTTGGCATGCTTTTTTGGGATACCGTAGTATTTTGTTGTTGCAAAAATCGCCAGGCTTAATCCCATTTATAAAAACAACAATAATGGGATTAAGCCTGACGATTTTTGGCAACAACAAAATATATTCATAATCAGCATAAAAGTCGATAAGTCGATTTGTCATGTCTGTTTGTTTAAATTACAATACAGGCTACATTATTTGACGTAGAGCATCAAAATTTAGCAGAATAATTTGTATTGTGTATAGGATGGTTGGTATTGAAAATGAAATTTATCGGTCCACGTTTTGGTATAGTCCCCATATAACGGTATCTCTCGAAATTCGGTATTTTGATGATTTTTGTCACATTTCTCCTCGGATTTGTCTAACACATATAACGATACCTATCGATATTTGGTATGTTGATAATCCTAGTCACATTTACGCACACAATTGTTTCAAATTTGGTATTTTAGAAGGTTTGATAGATGACAATGCTTGAAGTATAAAATGGTCCACAGAGGTTCCCGTTTTGGTATGGCCCCATATAACGGCCTCATTCACTTTATGATTTTTTGATAAGTTTACTGCATTATTCAAACAGTCTTACTGGTATATGAAGTTTAAAGTGAAACACGCTTGAATTTAGATACTTTTATATAAAAAAGTTTCCTTTACCCTCAGATGGATGATAGTAATAATTCTGCCCGGCCGGCCAATGAATTTTGCATATTGAGTTCTCATTGGACGGATTATTGTGATATGATAGAAGTAGGTAGGTCCACGTGTTGAAATGAGCCCCATAACGTTTTGTCGGTTATTTTTGCTTATTTAAATGTGTTCGCATCTTCCAGCTGAAGCACGATGTAGATCCTGGAGTTGAAAGCTAAATGCCAATTTCAGACATGAAAGATCGTCATTTAACATTTTATTGCGTACTATTTCATTTTTGATATTATTCATTCAGAATTCAAAACAATAAAAAAATGTACACTTCTATATAGTTTTTAAATTGAAAAAAGTTCACGCCAAAGGGGTTTCTTCTTTTATATTTTTATTGGCATATTTTACGCAATTTTTTTTTTTTTGCAAGATTCCATTCCGAAGTTGTATGAATTGTGAAAATCCGTCAAAACGTTCTTGAGTTATAAGCATAGTAACTAATAAACAAATTGAAAAAAATCTTCAACTTGTTCGCTGGTTTTTACAGCCAACATTTTTAAAGGTCCTTACGAAGTTTGGTCCTTACTATTATTTTGAAATTTGATTCCTTTGAAAAATGTTCTCAGTTTTTCCCTAATTTAGAGTTTATGCAGTGCAATATGCTCTTTTTGATTTTTTATCAATTTTGGTTTGACCACTTTAATTATTTTGACATCATCTATTCAGTTCCGCCACTCCATAATTTTCGTCGCTTTCTACTACCCAAAAAGACTACAAATCATATAAAATTAAAAAAAAAAAAAAAACACTACAAATGTACATTCCGAAATAGTAAGTCTAAATGGAAAAAAATCATGCAAAATAAAACATTACTATTGTACACTTCAAAAGTCAAAATGAAAATTTTAAAATTTCACATTTTTACGCGATTTTTTTGGATTTTATCCTTTTCTGCCAAGAGACAATTCCGAATTTTTGTAAATCGTTAAAATCAGATCAGCGGTTCTTGAGTTATAAGCGTAGTAACTAACACAACTTCCTTATGTATAGACAGATTAGAAGTATGCATGGTCAGTTCCCTGGCGCCCAAATAAATTCCTAAGTTTGGAGGGAAAGTCAACAGTATCTCGTGTAATAATTTTCAAACCGATATCTTCATTATCTGGCAAATATAAAGAAATAAGGCGTGGTCAATATTTTTTTCTTTAAAAACCTAACTCGGGGTAAGACGAACGTTTGTACAAAAAATTATGCAAATCTGTCCAGCCGTTTTCAACTGATTCCGTTACCAACAAACAACAATTGATTTTTATATATATAGATTTAGATGTCATACATATGTTTTATGCTATTTGATATTAAGGTAATCCAAAGTCGTTAGATGCACTATGTAACTACGATATTCAGAAAAATATATTAAGTAATATAAGTTGTAGTCCTCCTACATATGATATTTTTATGATTTTAACAGCACCGTTATCTGATTATTATGTCTTTATGCATTTCTTTGTAACATGGAGAAGGAAGCGAGATAGACCCATAGTTGCTCTAAACGATCTGCATAGAATTACATTCTGAGTCGATTTATGTATGTTCATCCGTCCGTCTGTACATGTATATTTGTAAAACAAATACATGTCGCATTTATTGCCCGATCGAAATGATATTTTACACAAATCATTTCTTGGAGATAATCGGTCTATATTTAGATATAGCTCCCGTATATATCTGTAGTATTAGTTCAAATTGGATGAAAATCGAGCCGGGAAACAAATATGTAAAATTTGGTGGAAATCGGTTTAGATATAGCTACAGCTCCCATAAATATTGTTAATAAGATGTGTTAGTTCCATTCTAAACAGCCGTAATATGCACTCCGTGACATCGATATTCGGGGAAATATATCAAATACAGCTCAGAGATACATTTGCCAAATTTTATCGAGATCTGTTTAGATTTGGATATAGCTCCCATGCATATCTTTACTAGATTTCAAGTATATTGTGCACTTAATGGTTAATATAATTTGGAATTAAATTGACTTTGAAAAATACAAATGAATTCAGTTTGCAAAATTCTATAGAGATCGGCTCAGATTTGAATATAGCTCCCATATGTGCCTCAAAAATTGTAATATGAGCTCAAATAAGATGGGTTTTGGTGAAGTCTGTCAAATTAAGTAGAAATCGTTTAAGGTACTTTCATATATTAATTTCTTTCGGCTTTAAATTGTATTTCCTTTAAAACCATAATACGCATTCAAAAACGTTATGGGTAGCTCTACTAAATATAGAAGCTGGTGTAGGGTATGATTAAGTCGGCCACATCCGACTTTCGACCTTCTTTTACTGTTTTTATACCCTCCACCATACTATGGAGGGTATATTAATTTTGTCATTCCGTTTGTAACTGCTCGAAATACTCATGTCAGACCCAACAAAGGATATATATTCTTGATCAGCATGAAATTCTAAGACGATTTAACCATGTCCGTCCGTCTGTCTGTGTGTCTGTCTGTCTTTCGAACAAATTGAGAAAGAAGGCTAAAATTTTGCAGACATGTATATTTTGCCAGTAGGCAGGTTAAGTTCGTAAATGGGCCATGTAGGTCCAAGTTATCATATTGCCCCCATATAACGGCACCCCCCGATATTCGGTATTTTGATGATTTTAGCGACATTATTCACCGGAATTGTTTCAAATTTGGCATTTGAAGTTCGTAATGGATACTACATCCTAAGACAGAAAATTATCTGTGCAGGTCCACGTCTTCGTTTAGTCCCCATATAACGGCACCCCCCGATATTCGGTATTTTGATGATTTTAGCGACATTATTCACCGGAATTGTTTCAAATTTGGCATTTGAAGTTTGTAATGGATACTACATCCTAAGACAGAAAATTATCTGTGCAGGTCCACGTCTTCGTTTAGCCCCCATATAACGGCACCCCCCGATATTCGGTATTTTGATGATTTTAGTGACATTATTCACCGGAATTGTTTCAAATTTGGCATTTGAAGTTCGTAATGGATACTACAGCCTAAGACAGAAAATTATCTGTGCAGGTTTACGTCTTCGTGTAGCCCCCATATAACGGCACCCCCCGATATTCGGTATTTTGATGATTTTAGCGACATTATTTACCGGAATTGTTTCAAATTTGGTATTTGAAGTTCGTAATGGATACTATATCCTAAGTAAAAAAATTAGCCATGTAGGTCCACGTCTTCATATAGCCCCCATATAACGGTACCCCCCGATATTCGGTATGTTAATGATTTTAGCGACATTATTTAACGGGATTGTTTCAAATTTCGCATGTGAATTTCGTAGTGGATACTTCAGCCCATGCCAGAAAATTGTCTGTGCAGGTCCACGTCTTCGTATAGCCCCCATATAAGGTAGCCCCCATATTCGGTATTTTGATGATTTTAGCTACATTATAAACAGATTTTTCTTCAAGTTTTGCATTTAAATATTGTAAAAACTTATGACAAAAGTTGCCTATGCAGGTTCACGACGTCGTATTAGCATTCGGTATTTTAAGATTTTAACAGAATTTTTAACGGATTTTATTTTTTTTTTTTTTGGAAATTGCCAAATTTGTACCATATGGTGGGGGGTATTAAATGTTCGGCCCGGCCGAACTTACATCTTTTTTACTTGTTTATACCCTCCGTTTGTAACTCCTCGAAATACTCATGTCAGACCCAACAAAGTATTCTTGGTATTCTTGATCAACGTAAAATTCTAAATCGATTTAGCCATGTCCGTCTGTATTTCCCTCTGTCCGTCTGTCTGTTGTAATCACTCTATCTTTCGATAGAAGGCTAAAATTTTGCACACATGTTTATTTTTCCAGTAGGCAGGTTATGTTCGTAAATGCGCCATGTAGGTCCACGTTTTCATATAGCCCCATATAACGGTACCTCCCGATATTCGATATTTTAATGATTTTAGCTACATTATTCACCGTTTTTTTCAATGTAGGTCCACGTCGTATAGACACCAATATAACGGCATTATTCGGTATTTTTAAAATCTTAACAGAATTTTTTAAGGATTTTATTTCCAAATTCGTTCCAAATGGTGGAGGATATTCAAAGTTCGGCCCGGCCGAACTTACTGCTTTTTCACTTGTTTTCATTAGAATCTAAATGCACTTCAGTGTTGTTTCAGTTTACCATAAAATCATCATTTCCACAATGCTTGCAGTAATTTCGGAGTTCAACAAACTGCAATGCACTACGGAATTGAAGATTTCAAAGCTATTTAAAAGAGTAACGTACACATTTCACTTTCTCTTTTTGACTACTCCTCTCAATACTTACGCCTATGTCTTCGGTTTTCGTAGGGCACATATATATTCAGATAAAGACAGTCTTCCGATTGATTGCTAAGCAATGGCAGCAGTCGACGCAGCTGGGCCAAACGGGCTCGTGGCACTTCTAGCAAAGCTTCAGGACCATTGGGGGGAATTGGCACGGTTTGTGGGCAAACGGGAGAAAAACGATCAGCATTGCGTACCGTTTTCCATGTTGATGGGGTGATTGGTGGCATAAATCTAAATATATGAAAAAATAAAAACAAGAAGAACAAGACCAAAGTCAACATTGTAAATTCAATTAAAAATCCATCAATATATTAGAGCTACTAGTCGTAAATATAACTAAGGTTTTGCTTATTTTGTACGCCTTTGAAATCCGTATTGCTGCACTTGCTTCTAATGAATCAGATGTTTTGTATTATTGATAAACATTAATTTTGATTGATTTCCCTTGTGAGTTTACGACCACAATGTAAGTTGATTGGTGGATAATTAATAAATGCAGGTTATTTAAAGAACTATAATTATGATGTTTGTCATATAATCAATTTCGGATTTTTATGAAAACTTCAAAAAAAGAAAGTCTCCAAAAATCAATTCCTTTCGGTATTATTTTCTAATCTCGGCATCGCATAGCTATTACAGAATTTATGTTATTTAAACTGTTATTATATTTCCTTGTTGTGCGGTATTTATTACCCCCAGGTCTGAGTTATACTTATTCAAACCGTTGACACTCTATGGAGAAGGTTCCGAAGCAGTTGGACAATATTGACCAATTCGTATCTAATTTAAGACTGATAAAAATTTTACAATGTGCCAGATTTGACCTATTGGAAAATGTGGAAATATGCGTAAGGTAACAGATATACCGGACCGAAGTATTACATGTTCATACTTCATCTATTGCAAATAAAAGTATTGGTATGTGCGAAATGGGATCGGCTATTAATTTCGCGTTTTATGAGCTTCATGAATATTCAAAATATTGGCCCTTTGTGGGGGAGGTACCAGGAGGAGTGGACCAGATCTTTAGTTAATAAAAGTATTGTGATGTGTGTGATTTGACGACAATCGCACTCTTACTTCACATTTTATAGACGTTATAATTAATCAAAATGTGGACCCTTTGTGGGAGGTACATGAAGGAGTGGACCGATATTGTCCATTTTCGCAAAATCGGATTATCCTTTCTCTTTCTGTGCAGAGAATATTTTTTTTTGATATTTCGACTTTTTGTGGGGGAGGTACCAGAAGAAGTGAACATATATCTTCCATCTTCACAACAGACCTTGGCCTAATGAAAGTATTGTGATGTGTGTAATTTGAAAACAATCGAATTCTTACAAAACACTTTTATAAGTGTTATTATAATTTAAAATGTTGACCCTTTGTGGGGGAAGTACCAGAAGGAGTGGACCGATATATTCCATCTTAGTAAAAATATTGTTATGTGTGTAATTTGAAGATAATCGGACACTTACATCACATTTTATAAGAGTTATGATTCTTCAAAATTTTGACCCTTTGGTCATATAAATGTTGCGAAGTTTAAGCCATTGTTAAAGCACGTGGTGCTTTCGAAGATACGATCTTTATTGTTTACTTCAATGAGGTAGGGTTAATTAATTCGCTCCTCAAAGTAATGATTAAGTGGGACAGCTAAAAACAATGTGATAAAATGCCATAAGTTCCAGATACATGGCCATTGCGAGATGTACAATTGTGTCAACTATGCTGTCAAAAATTTAGCTAATGTTTGCCCAAATGCAAATGAAAACAAGTTAAAAAGTTATTATATTGGTAATATTGTCCATTTCGTCCATTTAAGTCAAACATTCATATTTCGACTACTACCCCCACTTTGTATGAGATGTGCTTTTTTAGAAAATTTTGTACTTTTGTGTTGGAGGTACCAGGGAGAGCGAATAATGGATCTATGGTTAATAGAAATATTGACATACACGAAATTTTAACATATTGTGGGGGAAGTATCAGAAGGGGTGAGCCAATAAATCCAATATTTACGTCAAATTTTGTGTTTGAAGAGAATCCGATGCTCATATTGCACTTTATGAGGGTAATGGGTATTCAAAATGTTTACCCCTAGTACCAGAAGGAGTGGTCTGAACAATTCCATTTTCATACAAGATCTAGATTTGTTAAAATATTGACATCGGATGATTCTTCCTCTTCCTATGAGTTAAATTATTTTCTTTAGGGATTTCGACTTTTTTGGGGTAGGTACCAGAAGGATTGGACCAATATTGCATATCCGCGAATTCGACCACAGTTTTATAATAATATTACGATGTACCAGGTTTGGGTGACCCTGGGCACCCCTCAATTCAAAATGTCCTGAAGTGGTTTTTGTCTAAAGAGATTGCAATGTTTCTTTTTGCAAACAACGTTTTTAAACAAAATATTTACACTTCCACAATGTTTTCTAATCATATGTTTTGTCTGGATTCCTCATTCATTCGTTCTTTCATTCCCCTAATGTTACCATATTCCATATTCACCAAATCCTACGAAATCTGAAGAAGCTAAAACAAAAACGAACGCTTCCGATACGATCTTGCGACATGCCTGATAGAGACAATTACTGTTGGAAAATAAATTTTTATTCACATTGGTGAACTTTCGCAAGGAAAGTAATGCAACTTCCAATGTATCGTTCTGAGTCAATAAAATTGTTACTGTTTATTGTTCCAATGCAAAATGTAAAGGACGCATTTGCGGAAACATTTGCGACGTATCTGAACACGATATTAATATCTGACAAATGGAAATATTATTTAAAACTGTACCACGCAATCTTTGTTTCGTTTTGGCGTAGATAGAGAACACTCAACTAGAGGAGGTGTTGCCATACTAAGTAAAAGTTCTTTAAATCATAAAAAAGCTGCCTGAAATTTAAAATTTTACCAAAATTTATATATGTACGATATCATGAACCTATATAGACAGTTCTCTTTCAGGGGTAATCTACTCACAAAGAACTTAACAGACAATTCTATTGAAAATGTGGCTACAATCGTCAAAACACCGAATATCAGGAGGAATCGTGTTATGGGGATCATCCGATATCGTGAAACGATTCAGATCATCTGCCTGCAGACAAATGACTGATCTGTGCAAAATTTTATCCTCCTATCTTAATTCGTTTTGAATTAAAATTTGACAACATTTTACGCTGATCAATAATATATTTAATTTGTAGGGTCTCAAATGATAATTTAAGATTACTTTTATATAAAAACTGTTTTCTTTACCCAATGGTGGAGGGTATTAAAAGTTCGGTCCGTCCGAATTTAAGGTTTTTTACTTGTTTTGGATTATTTTTGCTTACAAAAATACAATGCACAGTCAGACGGAGGAACATGCTTAAAGCGACTCCAAATGTGATTAATATGCTACCCTTTAAGTTTTTCATCTAAATATAGAGTTACCTCAAATTCGACGTACTCAGTCGACGTTTTTCACCGCACAATATTACATGAGAGTTACCCAAATACGTCGGGCGTGCCAAATTTGAAATTTGAACAATTTTAACGTTGACAATTGAACAATTTCTTTTTTTGTGTTTTAAAAATATAAATGAAAAATTCAACAAATCTGAATGTTTATAAGTGGAAACTATTACATTTGGGCGAATTGAAAGAAGTATCAATTTGTACAGTGCTTTTTTTGGCCATTGCACTATGGGTTTTTTTACGTTTATTTTGGCATAAACTCTAATTTCAAAGCTATTGAATTGAAATTTGGTTTGTATGCATTTTTTATGCTTCCAAAATGACCTACCAATTTTCATATGATTTGGGGCACTATTTCATATAGCTGCTATATAGCCGATCTGGCCGATTTGACCCAACTTTTTTGTTTATGAAGCTGTTGAAGTGAAATTTGTTTGGTATACATTTTTTATTCTCCCAAGATGTCCTACGAATTTTCATATGATTTGGGGCACTATTTCATGTAGCTGCTATATAGCCGATCTGGCCGATCGGCTATGATGATTTGGAGAAACATACTGCTCATTCATTACAATAATTATACTTTTGCTAAGCCATTTTGAATGTTTAGTTTTAAATCGCTCTGGTTTACGGATGCACATTGGCAAATGCTTTTTTATATAATTAACAAAATCTTTCACTTGTTTTGATATCAAACGCATTTGGGCTTCATTTAAACTGATATTATTGATATTCTGTAACACATATTTCACAAGTGCATCTTCTGAGCGATTGTTGCTTTTCCAAATTTCAATAAGCGCTGCATGGACAAACACATGTTCATCTGCAAAACACGCGTTGGCACAAAATAGAACAAAAAAGGCTAGTTACTCATTAATTAACACACTTTTGTTAATAACTTGGCATTTATACCTTTTTGCAATGCTTTGCCATTCACAAGTTACACTCCACGGAACACAACTACAATTTTTAGATTTTATATAAAGCTATACATAAACGAAACAATTCACAGTATTACAACAACAGACAATTATGACAAAAAGGGCACCTCGTCTTAATTTTACATACCTGCACTAACGTTTTCCATAATTACACATTTTATTTTTTTCAATTTTGTCAAATCAGAAGCACTTGAACTTAGCTGATCTTTACCGCCAGTTGTACCAAAACAAAGTGACTTTCAAACAGCTGACTTTAAAAGCTCGCCAGCAAAAAAGGGTTGCCACCCGTATTGATATTAAACATTTTTTTTTTTTCTAATATGGGTATCTACATTTAGAAAATCAGTTAAATTTCAAAATATTAAACCAAAAAAAAATGACTTTATGCCAAAAAATCATGCTTTTTACCCATAGTGCATTGTGGGGAAGTTGATTATTGGTGTAGACTATGTCGAATTTAAGGTAATGTTGTAACAGTCTTGAGAATAATGTTTTCTTTTTTAAGAAATTAAAAAATTACATTCTTAACATTACGTTTTTAAAAAATATTAAAAAAAACCATAGAATAAATAATATATGGAAAATGTAAAAGATATTTAGACATACATATTTAAAGGTATTCCACTTCCATTTTCGTTATTTTCCATTAGGGTCATAAAAGTTCCAAATGTTTGATAAAGTTTTACCTTTTTGTATAGTATATTTTTACCTTATACACCGTATTTTTGCATTGTTGTTTGTAAATTTTTCACAGCAGTTGTATGAAATTGTTAATAAAACGAATCGATTTGTTATATCGCAAATATCCTCTCAACATCAA